GCTTCATTCAAAACACTTCTAAAGGCAGTGAGCTACCATTCTGATGAACAGAGTTAGCATTACTACAACCACATCAAATAATAATAATAATAATAATAATAATAATAATAATAATAATAATAATAACTTTGCTCTACATCATTACAAATGACAAAAAGTCCTTTTAAAACAAATTAGAAACCAAGAAACAAATTAGAATTTGTGAAAACACATGCCACAAAACGTCTGCATGTCCACACGCAACAAATCTATGAACTCTCATCTTCTCTTTCTTCAGCAAATGCAGCTAACTCAGTTACACGCTGAAGCTGCCCTAGGATACTTAGGGCTCCTTATAAAGAAAAGCCTTTGCATTTTGTTTTCAGAATGTGGCCAGATGCATAGCGTATACTGCACCTCCATTCAGAAAACGTTTATCAAGTGGGTGGAACACCGGAACTACTACAGTATACTTCATCTAACCTTTCAGTCTTAGGCCTTTCAGCTGAAAAGGGAAATGATTTGCTGTTAAATGGACACCAGAAGCATTAATCCTTAAAACACACAGCATTTGTATTTTAAAGGATTAACTGTGTCACCAAAGAGATGAAATACTCAACACACCTGTGTTTGCCAACAAAGTGAGAGACATGGAGAATCATACTGCGCGTTGTTAAAGGGGCAGGGCGGACCATTTTAATTCCACACAGACTGGTGCTTAAAATCCAGAACACTTCATCACCGATCCATTTCAACCTGTACCCTTACACATGTTACTTTCCACAACCTCATATCTAAGTATTAAATAATATCAAAGACATAATAATCATCTCAAACTTGTTTGAAGGGAAGGTTGGTAGGTAATATAGGTTTTGTCATCTCTGACTCAAGTGGAATATGTAAAAGGCAACAGGCAAACAACAAAAAAATGTTAATTGATGTAGTTATAATACAAGATAAAGGGCAAAGAAGCTCTTCTAAAAAATGTTACTTGTCTTAAAATAGCCATCTCACTTGACTGTTTTTCTTAATTGTGTGCATGTATATAAACTTTATTTGCAAATATCACTGAAGCTTTATGTAGGTATTTCCAACCTTTATTTTAACTGGTGATAGTTTGAAGAGGACAGCGATTTAGTTTGAATTCCCAATTTACCAACACTTCCGAAGATCTCTTGAGGGGGCAAAGCATCTTGTTTGTGAGCGTGATACAAGTGTTTGATTCTTCCAGGACTGTGTGGCCTACCACAAGAGATCAGCATTCAGACTCGACTCGCACTCCAATACAGACCATTCGGACTACAAATTGGTCTTTGTTTCGCCTGTGGAAAGACTTGAAATACTTCCGTTGTTAAATAAAACAACTCCTCTCATCCAAGACCACAATGTGCATTGGTTCCAAGAAGTAAACACCGTCTCCAAAAGGAAGTTTGCATTGAAGACTCTCAGTACCCCCATCTGCACATAGTGCCCTATTCTTCTCGTACATTTAACATTTCCCCTCTCGAGTGGGACACTGGGAGACCATCAGTAAAGAGGGAGAGCCTATGCCAAAGAAATGTTAAAGCATATTCTGACTATTTATGTTCTTGACACTTCCACTCTCCTTTCGGGGCAGTAAAACTTTTTTTCATTCTGAACTTGCTTAGGACATGTTTGTTGCAACTACAGTACAGATCCAGATCTTTAAAAGCCTTGGCGCTGAAAGAATTACATTGGATTCCAGAAAATGAGCAGTACAGTCTGTAGTTCTTAAGGGGCTTTAAATGCTTCTTGAAGAGCCTTTAAGCAGCCTTTTATCTCAAATCAAAATCTAAGATGGACAGGGCAACAGGCTTCAGATACCGGCTGTGAATCCTGATCCTGAACTCTGGAATAGAAAGCTTCTGTCCAGTCACTTGGAAAGAGCAACATTACACAAGAAGGGATAGATAGCACTTGTTTCCACTCATTTTCTTGGTAGTTCTCCAGAATTACCCTGGGACTGACTTACATTCCCCTTCAAACTCAGAGTAAAATTAGTGTCACAATATGTACTGTACCAAATCACTTCCATTCTTATCAGATGCTCTTCACAAAAATACATTAAAGAGCATTATGATTTCTACACCAAGTCAGGTAGGGCAGTTAAAATAATTCAAATGTGCATAAGCTATTTTTTGGCTGTCTTACCAAAATCCAAAAGAGCTGAAAATAAAAAGCAATGTTTTCAACTCTGCTTGAAGACATTTTATGAGGAATCTCTCAAATTAGGAAACACTAATTTGAATACTAACAAAAAATATTATATTAAGTTATTAAACAAGCCAGTGTAATCTGCTCTTTCTCAGAAATTAGACGTTCAGTGTTTCATATTAGAGCTCTGACGCTGAAGAAAACATACCTGAGAATACACTGGTAATTTACTAATTTTCCAAACGTCGCCATAAGAGATTTGACAAATCCCATCGCCAAAACCAGGCTTGAGGATTTCTGTTGCCATTGCACTGACACTGACAATGGAAGTGTATTCCAAAGCTGAAAAGAGGAGGCACTTCCTTACACAGTGAGGTGTGGGAGTATGGAGCAAGTTGCCAAGGTATCATGTTGAAAATAATACTCTGGCGTCTTTCAGGAAACTGGCTGGATACGATCCTGGTTTAATCAGACATACTGTAACATTCAGGCTGGTGACGAGTAAGACTTTTCTCATAGAATTCCTGTGAATATTCCTAGAACGAACAAAACGTGATTCATGAATTGTGACAGACTCCACAGAGGGAGTGCAATTCTTATTTTCCTTAGTCATTACCTTAAGGGGATTTGTTCTTGGTGTATGTAGTGGGGATAAAGGAACACAAAGCATGTCTAAAAACTACAACTCCATGAAAACCATACAAATAAATGTTTGGGAAGAAACACTCTAAAGATCACATTAAAACATTGGAAACGGTACAAAAACCTGACCTGATTTGAAAGGATTAATTCAAATACATTTCTGTCACTTACTCTCTACTCTGCATGGCTAAATAAAGACCGAGCAGCAGGGCCATGGTATGTATTTAATAATACAGGAGGATTTCAAATAGCACTTCAAAAGCGCCTGGGTAGAAGGACAGTATGGTGGCGTTGTAGTCAGCACCACTCCCTCGGAGTTAGAGCTGGATTCAAGCTCAAAGGAGGACATCTGACTCTGTGCCGTTTGCATGTTCTCTTTGTGTTCACATGCATTTTGTGCCACTTGTTTTGGATTCCTTCCACATCCCAATACAAGCAGATTAATTCTGATTGGCTACTATAGAAACAAAGACACTCAGTGACACCGACCGTAAGAGAACACAAAACAGGAAGGTACAGTACAGCAAAGATTATATTACTGTGAAGGGATGTAACATCAGTTCTAGTCCTTTATTATAGCTGAAAACCACCCAATACCAGAGGATATCAATTGATCAGAAAAGCATCACTTAGGAATGAACACACACTGTTTAATCTAGAAGTAAATGGGCTGACTGCAGAGGCGATGATAATACTATTACTCTTTCAAAAAAGTAAAAAACGCACATTTGTAAACATCACCTTCAGAGAAATAGGTCAGAACGGCACTTTCAGCTGTCCAGCAAACCAATTTAGCCACCTAACAATACCCCGTGGCTGCCTGCAGCTTGCGCAGTGATCTGCGTGTTATGATATGATCATTCCCACCAGCTGCAGGAAACAGCAGGGTAAAATTACTCCTAGAAAAGCTGGGCTTTCTTTGAATCAGTGTCAGTGGATGCTCTTGGTGCCATCGTGGTGTAGGGTACAGAAATAAATCCAGGGCTCAATTTATTATTGTCTGCTTATAAAAAGACAAAGCCCTGCATGGCATTCTTTTCAATCAGATCACCACCAGTGAAAGAGCCAGAATAATACTGATACAGTTCATCTGCCTGTTAGCTATGATCTCCTTCTTTTCCAGAAGGGTAGCAATTTTGGAATTAAGAAGGAAAAGGGAAAGCAATTCCCTGCTATGGTGTGCAGACAGGCAAACACAACACTATCTGTACACTCTACTTGTAGACCAGGGAGTGACCGAGGAAGCTGTGCAAGGTGAGGTTTTCATGATTTATTTCAAGTTCAAGGTGAAATTGCTGATAGTTCCCTGGCTTAGAAACAATTGAGTTCTCATGAAGATTGCTGAGACTGTCAGATGAAGACTGTGTTCGACAGTACAAATCTGATGATGGATTCTAAACTTTTGTTGAAGTTTCACAGCAGACTGACATGGTGGAAATTTACTGGTCATCTGTCATCGGAAACTGGCATGTAACTGGCACTAAAATAAATTGACAATTGTCAATTATGTTATAAAAAGACAATTTGTCTATTATTCACATAGTTTATGCTCCTAATCATAAACTAATCTAGGAGTGAGTAAGAGGACATGGTGTTCAGATTCAGGTATATCCTGTACTGTATTCTACTCAGTCTTGGCTTCAGGTATTACTTTTTAATCAGGGTAAATCGCTGTGAGGAAATTTGTACAAGATGGGAACATATTTGCAAAGCCACGTATTTGTACAGTATTTGCAAGGTGCAGTGAATGAAGTTTTTAAGCCCTGTTCTATAGGGAACACACAATTTTCTGCAAGGTGAAATACAACCCACAGGAAACATGATATATTATTATTTACCGTGCAAACCATGACACACAATTTTCTTTAAGCAATAATAACCACTTCAGCTGATCAGTTTCTTTCTTCTTCTAGTGCTTTTTAAATTAAATGAGCCGGATACCGGCACCTGTTGAAGTGGAAGAAGAAAAAATAAAAAAGGCACATAAATCAATAGTACAACTTTAGGCCTCACGTGATAATACAGTATTCCACCAGTTCTAAACTGTCGATATACAGTACTGTACTGTATATGGAATTTGGGAAACGTGTCAGTTCCGATTTGCATAGCTCTAAAAACAAACAACTGGGTTATAAAGTTTTACTAAAACGATGTGGGACGTTCACATAAAATGCGTTCAAACACAAAAGTCGATTGGCACTTACCGTTTTCGTTTTTCCATCCACCGGGCTGCTGCCCAAAGACGGGATGGACACCTCAATCATAGCGGGATACGGCATGACTCCGCCGGGACGTGTCTGTGGCGGAGGCGAGACCACGCTTGGAAGCTCGGCTGCTCGGTAGCTTGGAAAGCGCACCTCTCACGCCCTCTTCTTGACAGGATACAGCTTGATCCCTCCTCTCCGGGATTTGACTTCCACAGCCCACCTTTGCCGGAAGCGAAGAGCTTGTGACAATGGAAGATACAGTAGGTGATACAGTAGCTACACAGTTCGGGGATTCTCCGCACCTTGTGAAGTGAGTGCTGCAAACTGTTGGCTTTCTGTACCGAGAACTCGGTATGTTCTCGACTAAAGCTCCACCCACACAGCAACTTGCTGCGTTTACTGTAGTGTATGAGGCTAGTTTTGACTACCTACCACGCTGTATCGATGAACTAGTTTTTGTTTGGGGTGATCTTAGAAAAATAAGTAAATACTGTACATCTTAACTTTCTAAGTTGTAATTTAAGCGCTCAGAAGTATGGTACTTTGCACTTTCCGATAGCTAATATGTAACCTTTTCTTACCTGAAGAATCAAACCAGCACTTATGGAAACATCGTTTATGATACAGAAAAAAATGTATTTTTTTTTAAATCAGTTGCGTTTATTTTAAATACAAGTTTTGTTTCGCTGTTCCTTTGTCTTAAATCAAAAGGCTTCCTGTACTACGACTCCAATCATGTTTTTGTAGATTAAGGAGAAAAAAGTTTATATTTCACCACTTTCTTGTGAAAAAAACTCTATATTTTTTAAGATACCCAATAAAATGCATAATTCAAACGTATTATAATATTTTCGCACTTTTTGGACAAATGAAGCATCAGACTGATACTAATTTTGCTGATCTGAGGATTACATCCAATAATTATTGCAGTGCCTTCAGTAATTTTATGCATTCAGACTTTACACTGCTTTTTGGAACCATTACCCTGCCTAAGGATTTTTAGTTTATAACCCACAACCGTTAGCATTTCTGTTTAGGCCTACCTGCTGTACAAAGTTTCATTTTAAAACTGACCATTTCCTAAGCCTGCCCAGCAGTGGGTTTCACAGAAATAAACGCTTCTGAATATTGCGACTCAATATTTAAAGAAAATGTTTGACAGAAAAAAAAACTAACAGTAGTAGTTTATGTTTAAGAAGATATTTCCTTTAAAAATACCAAAGTGGTTACAAATATCTAACAGGATAGTATTTTAATGTAATTAAATTGTGAGAATGTAGTAATGTACTGTAGGTATGGAATTGTTCTAATGAAATATGTGCCAGTCCTATACAATCACTTGTCTTCACCACTCCAGTCATGTCACAAAGTCTGTTCTTAACAGTCACATCCGGCTACTGCAGTGAAAGATGTAGCAATTCTGTACAAACTATTCAATTGATTTTAATATAGATTGCATTAAATTAATTTCATGCATGTAATTATCACCAGAATGCATTGTACCTGAAATTTACTTGGGATAAGCACAGATAAGATGTCGTCACACTGTAGGAATGCTATGCCAAGGAACAACTAATAGACAGCGGTGTGATTTTCATTAGACACAGCTGCCCTCCGTACAGAGCTGTTTTTGCAGCTGTCACTGGTCTTTTGTCACCACCAGCTAAGTGGTACTTTCTGCTTGTCTGTGTACAAGTCTGTAAGCCAGCAAGACTGTAAGGAAGCAAGACTGAGTCTGTAACTTATTTTTTCCCAGGATGATACTTATTCCCACAGTTGTTTTTTTGATCACACAGTGCAGAAAGAGGCGTTTACAGTACTTCAGTCCCTGCAGCAGATTCGCTGGGCTCTGCCTCTATGAACGTTGACACCACAAGATTAGACACATGGAAATGTCTTAAGCTTTTGTCCTACAGGACAAGAGTAAAACACACCCTTCATCAGAAATCAAGTTCCAGTCAACCATTACAGCTACTCAGAGCTTTGCCTGGAGTCACATGCTAAGACAACACCCTGCTTGGGTCTTCAATCCATCGCAGGGCACACACAAACAGTCAAACAAGAATAATTTAGAGACACCATTTAACCTAACCAGCTTGTCTTTGGGAGCCGTAAGAAAACCCAGGCTAACTGAGGGAGAACATGAAAATTCCACCTGGAATGTGCCCCTGATTGGGAATTGAACCCACAACCCCAGAGCTGTCAGGCAGAAATATTAACCGCCATGATGCCGTGATGCCCAAACGCAGAGCTAAATGTGATAAATAATGGAAGTCGAACAGTTGACAAGAACCGGTATATTTTAGAGGAAACAAAAGGTACAGTGACCATTCTTACTTCTGTTTTTGGAGATATGTGGGGTGTTACTGGAAAACCCAAGCATCTCAAAACCAAAAGAACATCTCGCTACACTGTAGGAAATGAAACAAATATTGCTTCTCATTTGTAAGACAGGAATGCGACAAGAAATTGTTCATCCTAATTCTATAGCTAGTTTCCAGTCAAAATCCAGTGGTAGTCTAATGTTTTGAATATAATCTTGCTAGTTACTTTAAGTAATCAAAGGATGTTTTCAAAGGGGCCTCTCTTACTGTATATTTAAAATTAGCTGAATGCTTCAGCATTAGTTTTACAGACACTAAGTCTAATAAAATTAGAATGTACTTTGTAAAATTGTTTTGATCGCAACTTGAGTTTGAAAATTTACAAAACTATGGTTTCTTACATTTCAAGGTCACTATCTAGTGTTGATATATTCCTTTTCATACCCCTTCGATTTTGAGCTTGAAATATTGACAAAATGGGGTGAGCCAATAAAAAAAACAGTCAGACTCTAAAAGTCACAGTTCCTGTCTCCACTTCTTGATTGTGACTGATGTCAGAGACATGAGCAAATTCCCTTTCTCTGACAGGCAGTGAGTCAGGGTGCAGGCTGCTGTACTCCCTTCAAGCTTGGAAAAAACAGCTCCTTTCACATTTGCCAACCTGGATGAATATACTGGCCTGGGTAAAGAGTCAGCAAAAGAGACATGCAATACATTCCTTTCCAGAACGAGACTGCTTTGGAATGGTGGAAATCTTTCAGCTAATGGGAACACAGTGCTGTGCTACAGGATGTTGAAGTAGATGTGCTGTTAGCATACAGATGTCCCACCATGTTAACAGCACATCTATTGTGACATAAAAAAGTACTGTGTTAATCTTTGTCAGAATTGTTCAACAGAAGCCAGACAGACAGCATGAGTACCGCAGTGACCACTGTACAAAATTTACCAGTAAAATGTCTGGTGGGGCATTTTTTATCTAGTTTGATTTATTTGTATATAGTGAAAAATTAGGAATCAGGCTAAAGAATGTATTAGCCTATTTTTTTCTTCTTCAGGATTATGAAATTGATCTTCCTTTCAGTCAATCAGTACTTGACATTACAAGCCTGGGTATGGTAGAATAATTTATATCAATCCTAGAAATCACAAAAGCTGAACCCAAACTGGAGCTTGTTAATGAGCATGCTGCCTTAAGATTTATTTTCTGTGTTGACTCAAGACTCCTGTGATTGACCATCACTTGTGTTTTAACAGAGACAAAGACTTGTAAGGGCTTTAACACATGGGGACATTTTGCAAGCTTTTATGGGAACCGGGCAGACAGTGTTTTGGGGGTGTAGAGTGTGACGAAAATGTCAGGTGAGGAGTAGGGATGGGTGGAGGGGGAGGTGTGGTGTGATTTGTGTCCAGAGGGGGCTAACAAGCACACAGATATTCTTCCTTACTGCCACATTGCTGAAGGGAGAAGGAGCTGTGCAGGCTGGCGATCCCAAAGGCACAAAGAGACTTAAAACAGTCATTCTCTAACAATTTTAAGTGTCTGCCGCAGGACAGGTGTGAGCAAGCATTTCAGCATTCTCTATAAACACTGATTCTCTAGGTTTAAGCTTGCACACAAAGAAAGCCTGATCTATCTGTACAGCAATAAAAGCCTATGTTAACATTTCAGCCTGCTTCCTTGTTAACACAAACCTCAGTTTGAATTGTTTTTTGTTTTTAATCTGAGTATGAGAAGCCACAGCCATTTAAACACCAAACCTCCCTCCCTCCTCCCCCTGCCATTGCCTTTAACCCTGCATTGTGTCAGAATCCTCACTGAAGCTGAAAGTCACAGCATCAGCAAACTGTGAGATCATGTGCAGGAAGAGAACAGGAAGTAGCCTGCCTGACTCTCAGGCCTCGTCAGTGACCTCGTGCGGGAAGAGTCCTCATGAAAGACAGTCCTGCTCCGGCTTCTCCAGTCGTGAACCTCAAGTCTCCTTCTGACTGGCATGTGAGTGTAAGACAGCGTCAGACACGTGCCTTGAAACTGCTGGCTGGGCGCACTGCCGAAAGTCAAATAAGGTGCGAGCTGTTTTCAGAAACACCCTGACCGCTGCTGGTGAAGGTGACTGTACTGTCTACACGAGGGCACAGGAACAGGTAAAGGTGTATTCCATGTTGAAAAGAAAAGAGACACAGAGGCTGTACAGCCTTCTTCAGTTGAGTCCTGTTCCTTTGCTGCGTACGCACACTGAAGCAGCTACCTACTTGAACTACAAAGCATACAGTATGTATAAAAGTACTAAAACTCAACGCCAGGGAGCTTTCTCTCCAGAAAAAGTGAGGTTTTCCTACGTCTGGAAAAGAGGGATTCTGGTTCAGCTCTGGGGTGGGATGATAAATTATCCGATTACAGATGATGAAAATTGTGTATTGCGAATTGCGATTGAATACAGTCCGCCATCACTAAAGCACAGAACATTGCACTGCTAGCCTTCAGATGGTTGCAGCGTTAATTTCCTTCCATCACATCCACTCCAGGAAATGTAGTTGTAGTTTCAGAACAGTTAATTAATTTTTTAATCAGAAAATTATTTTCATAAATAATACCAGCAACGGATTGAAGAATTATGAAAACAAATACATGCCCAGGAGTTAAGTAATGGCGAATAGGCATTAGTTAAATACAGATTACACAAACTACTTTTAAGGAATAAGCTAACAGTGTGGAAAATAAATTGCTAGATCAGAGGAAAATTATACATGGAGATGGTCTGGGGTGCTGCCCCAGAGACAAACGGCCTAATAAGGTTTACTAAGACAACTCCATGACAACGAGGCTTTCCACTGTTGGCCTGTTATAACTAAGCGTGGTTTTATCTGTGAAAGTATGAAAGTGGAAGAGAAGGGGGGGAAGGGGAACGATGTGTCAGTAATGAACTGTCCAAGTAGGGATAAAGTGCTCGGTAATGTATTTAAACAACTAGAGGGAAAGACAAAACTTTAACTATAATTGTAAAACACAGGAAAATAATTTCCTACATGAAGAAAATAAAGGTCACTGTAAAAACCTATTTGTATTTTTTTGGCATTTTTTTAATGAACGTGTCTTCTATTGCAATTAAATGCCTGAATGATAGCTGACAAACGAAACTTTTTAAGACGTTCTTTTTTCAGTTATTTTCAGCACTGCGCATGACGAGAAGCAGATCTGTGAGACAGGAAAGTTCTTTTAGCTAGTGGTTTTAATGAAGCCACTCAATTACTAAACATAGAAAAACAATAAATAAAAATAGCCCTGGTCCGTTTTGGTCAAAATTATACTTTCAAAAAAAGCTCCTAACGAAATGGCTTCTTGCCAAGCCCGGGGACAGAAAAGGGCTGCCAGAATTAAGAGTTAAACAAGATACTTCAGCAGTCATTTCAATGTTGACAATGTTGAACTACAGTATGAGCCCAGTGGATTGTGGTCACGAGACCAGCATGCTCCAAGCCATCAGTTTCTGCTTTGGCTTAATGGTACTGAATTTACCTCTCCATGTCCACTTCTAACCTCAGGTGCTCGGGAAAACACACAGGGTACTCATACATCCCATAATCCTACATGTACCACAACCGGGCCTGATAATTTCAACACTTTCTGGAAGTACACAAGGTTTGAAATTAATGCAAACTCCAGGACGACGGGATGACTGGCTGTAGCACATCCATAAACAGGATTTCAAGAGAATCACAAATGTTTGGCATCAGACACAGCATCTTTTCATAAGCTTCAAAAATCTCTGAAACCCAATACAGAAAACAATAGTGCTGGGAAACAGTTGGCTTATCTGAAGAAGAAAAAAATACCTTCCAGCTACAGTCTTGTTGGGACTTGAATGCTCTTTCTCCAGAAATATGCAGAACGAAGGGAAAAAAGAAAGAACTGGAAACCAAAACTGTGCTTTTCCCTTAAAATGGAGAACCATAGCAGTGTCAGCCAGGGCTAAAAAGGTTGAATATTTTTTTAATATAAAAAGGACACAATATGAGTCACAACAAGTAGAAATTGATCAAAACCGCTTTTTAAAAATCAGTCGATGGCATACCCGAAAAGGGAACTTATATATGCAGTTTGTGAGGAGCTCAACAGTATCATGCTACATTGCCGTACTGTAAATTTTGTTACAAACATTGATGTACCACGCTGATGTACCAGGTTGGTAGGGACAATTCTATCAAATGATTAGAATAATTTATTAATAAATAATAATTACTTATACTTGTATAGCACCTTTCTAGAAACTCCACTCAAAGTGCTTTTACAGGAAATGTAAAACTACCACTACCAATGTGCATCCCCCACTTAGATGATGCAAGAGCAGCCTTAGTGCACCAGTACACTCACCACACAGAGTGAACAGGAGAACAGAGTGATGAAGCCAATTCAGAGATGTGGATTTTAAGGAGGCCACAATTGGTAAAGGCCAATGAGAAATTTGGCCAGGACGCCAGGGTAACATCCCTACTCTTTGAGAAACACCCTGGGATTTCACCGAGAGTCAGGACCTTGGTTTTACATCTCAACCGAAGAATGGCACCTTTTTACAGTGTGGTGTCCCCGTCACTATACTGGGGCATTAGGACCCACACAGACCATGAGGTGAGCATCCCCTACTGGTCCCACTAAAACCTCTTCCAGCAGCAACCTTAAGTTTTTCCCAGGAGTCTCCCATCCAGGTACTGACCAGGCTCACAATATTATTATTACAAATTGAAAATAGCAAACAGTTATTGTTAAGCTGTATAACACTCCTGTAATGCGAGAAATAACAATACCTTGTTCCTCAAACAGATACTGAAACCAAAAAGGCTTGACTAGTTTTATCCAGTGACCAGTAAAGATGGCAGGGGGTGTGTCATTAGGAGGGACAAGTGGAACCAGCAAACAGTAGCAGGACATATTTATTTCTCCATTCACAGGGTTGTGTGCAGGACACTTTCATGCCTGCAAAACACTACCCTGGGCTTGATCTACACCTTGATCAATCAAGAAAAAATTAAAACAAAAACCTTTTTACCGAAGAGAGAGAAACCACGTTCTGTGAAAGATAAATGGACATAAAGGAGGACTGTTTCCACACTTATTTTTTGTGGCATGACTGCAGGAATTATGATGCCAGATAAGGTCTTAACAGATGCCACAAATTCCCTAATTGCACATCCCAGAAGAACACCCACCTGCAGGTGTGCAGTAATAGGAAATGCTCCTGGGTTGAGACAGGCTGTAACGGAGACGGGTAACAAGTCAGGCCCAGACGTGTTGCCTGCACCGGAATGAAATGGAAACTATAAGTTCTTTGGAAAAAGCAAAGAGAAATCATCATCATGCCTGAGCTGAAAGGAAAGGCAATTCTTTATAACACTGATACTCAGCTGATAACACTGATACTCCTTAAGGGTCACACTCCCACATTGTGGGTAATGCCATAATGTGGTTTTATAAGCATACTATTAATTAGGCTGAATATCTTGCATTCATACAGCTGGCTCTTTTACTGAAGCACCTTGCTTAAGGTACTAGAAGGTACTGATAGTAGCGTTCCACCCAGGACTGGAACCCACAGTCAAACAGTTCTGGTTACAGAGTTTGAAAACCCTGCACCACTCCACTGAATCGCTTTTCAGAGTAATTCAAAACACCTTCACTTCCCTGGTAATTCTGATGACTTTTATGTGGTTCTCCATTCAGATGACCATCTTTTAAAATAAAAACAGACATTCTAAGAAGACTGGATATAAAAAGCTTTTTTGGGGAGATGAATCCAAGTGCAGTGCAGCATTTAAAGGTCTTCACAGCTTTGTGTGTAGTTCATTTTCTTGTGTTTCCATCAGAAACATCTTACATTTGCTTAAATAGTAACACTTGCAGAAATCTAAGTTATTTTGCCGGATTTGGAAATTTCTTCTTCTGGAATAATCATCTTTTACAAGTAACTGGAACCACAACACATTTGAACTTAAGCTTCAAGGAGTTCCTCTCTTCCTCCCAAAAACTGATCTAAATAGGTCACATTTACTATACACAATCTGCAAAATAAGTTGTTGCACTTAATTCCTTCTCCAAGTCCTCCGGAAATGCTTAGTTTAGTGTTAGCCATTTAGAAATAATACTTAGATCCAGTGTTCTGTTTAAGTGACAAACTAAAACATATTTTCAGTACTTTTCAGTAATCTCAATGACCATGCTGTATGTTTTACATGAAAAACACAAGAATATGAAAACGGTTTAAACAGTTTAAAAAATAGTTTTAAAACAATTTATATTTATGCTATTATGAAATGCCACAAAGGAATCCTGTTAATCTTGAGTATCAAACAGAAGGTTTTCATTAAAACGCATTGAAGGTTCTCTCATCACTAATTAGACCAACGGATATTCTGAAAGATGAGTGATTTTGAAAGAACTAGTAATGAGGGATAAGAAATTAAGAATTTACATCCAAGAATAATGGAGCAAACCCAGCGGTACAACTTACAATTTTCTGAACAGATCACAGTACAGTGGTTTGGATATAATTTAAGCACTGAATGTAAAAACTAATACAAAGAAAACGCTCAACTATTGTTTTAAATCTAGATAAAAAATCTGCCCATAATTTATCAAATGCTTACATAATTGGATGAACTATAGTGAACAGCTTGTTAATGTTCTGCTGGAGTAATGTAAACTGATTCAAGGGTTGAAGGTAGAAAAAAAGTCACAACAATTTTATTAAACAAATTTATTTTCAATAATTTATGGCAACTAAAGCAATTGCTTTCTGAGCACAGTTAAAGGGCATATTCTAAACATATCAGTAGGTTGCCTACAAATGTTTATAATTTGCCATTCTCACATGTTAAAACATTACAAAAATGTCTGCTGCTTTCTGCAGGCTGGGATAGGGTTACATGTTGTAAACATAAAACACTGAACAATAATGGGCTTCGGTCTTCATTGAAACTTGAAAAAAAAGGAAACCAGTGGCCATTCTGCATCTGTTTTAACCTTTAACATCAGTATTAACCTTTCATATAATGCTTTTGAAGACCAAAGATTTTCCATACTGGATCTCTTCTGTTTATGAAGTTTCATTCCTTTTCCAACCCATTCACACATAAGATCATCAACCAACAGCATCACAGAAAAGAGCAAAGCATTGCAATGGTCATGTCAGGGAATGCATCGTGTAAGTGTGAGAAATAAAAGAGCAATCCAGCAATGAAAGGTTTATGATTTCAGGTGATGCCCAACTCTCCATCAGAGGAAGAGAAAACATGGTTAATTAAAACTGGCTAAATTGTTTAGCAGCTTGTCTGAATCAAGAATGGTGGATTAGCAAAGCCAGTTCTGGTTATAAAGCTGACTGATTGCATTGTGGGCTCCTGACAATAAGGTTAACACACGTTCACTGGACAGGTACATGATTGCTCGTTTTAAAAGCTTGGGAACTGTTCATCCAAAGCACTGATTGTGGTCGCCCAAAGGTTGATGGATGCCCTGACAGATTGAAACACTTGTTATTCTTCATCAGACACCTGCTGGACAAGCACTAAGACCTGTCATTTCAATGAAGTTCTCATTGAAGACAATTATTAACATGCGAGTTACTCAACTGGAAAACAAAGGGAAACTAATACAAAGCATTCATTACGCTGCTGCCAAAGACCGAGGACTTTAGTGTGGACACACTTTGAAAACATTAAAGGTGTTTAAATTGAAGAAAGTGTGGCAGAATCACATTTTTTTCTTCTGCTCCTTGAGTGCTGCATCATGGGTAAGGCTCAGACTGGGGTCCATTACAAGTAGGTATGACTGGAGCCACTAGGCCCAGGCCAGCAGACGCCATCTGCCCTAATGAACACCAATCACCTATACTCTCCCCACATGTAAAATATATGATGTTATCAATCCAAAGCGGAATGCCCATGCAGTTATGTGCTAGTTAAAAAAAAAAACTCCAGGAAGAACAAAATTGAGTTCTCTCTCATCTCTCAGGCTACCCTTTTAACTTACAAATTTAGAAATAAAAACGTAAACTTTGCTGTACAGTCAATCCTTACCTGGGCATCAGCAGAATATATCCTAATAAAAACGTTCCACATGAATATTTTGGAACTGTTATGTTTTGTGGCTGCAAGTTGAAGATATTGAGCTTGGAGCACAAAACTGATTCATCCCACCAGTAGATCAGTCAGGAAATCAATGGCTTAAATGGATAAATCAAACAGTTAAGGAGAAATAAAGCACTGTATAAAGTCTTAAATTAATCCAGGTAAGGAAAATGAGGAAAACAAAACACAAGCAAAGATTACAAAAGATATTTGAAACACCCAGGGAGACAGCACATATTTCAGTATAGCTTTGACCGAAGAACAATACAGAAGTAAAATGGGAAACTAAGATGAAAGAGAACTGGCTAATGTATTATCTTTCAGATGTTTACTAAGCAAGGAAAAGACAAACAGCCTCAAACTGAGCCAATACAAAAAGAACAGGCAGATGGGTTACAAGTACAGGAAGCACTTAAAAACCCTGAGGTAATGGGTTTCAAGGGGATAGTTAGCAGTGATTAGAAAAACTAGATCTTAGTTAACTTGCTAGAGTTCTATGAACAAGCAACCAGACATCTGGTATATTTAGATTTTCAGAAAGCTTTTGATCATATTATAAAAGATTACTTCTCAAACTGCAGATGGTAGGCTTTTAAGGTACTATATATACTTGGATCAACCATGAACTGGTTAACAGACTGGAAACAGAGGGTACAAGGGCCCCCAATCCTTGTTCTTGAGGGTCTCTGAAGATGTTCCATGTATTTTTAAAGCACCAGGATCTCAAGAGCAAGGAGAAGCTGTTGAACTGATCCAAAGAAGCCAACGTGCTCATGCAGGTCGTTACAAACCCAGTTCACTGCAAGCCTATAGACACTGGCCCTGTAAGACCAGGACTGGGGATCCCTGCTCAACACAGCTGGCATAACTGGCAAATTAGTCATGTTTGCACATACTACCTCATTAGGAAGGGAAGATTAGCAAACACTGCAGAAGCTGCAAAAGAGATTCCAAAAGATTTGGCATAAATTCAGGACTAGGCAAACACCTGGCAGATGGCAAAATAACTTTTAATGTAGACAAAAGCAGGCTGCTAATTATGCAAGTAGCAAAAAAAAGCATAAAAATAAAAGAGGAAACACCGAGTTTGATGAGGCTAGTTCCAAAAGACGTGAGTTTAGCAACATTTTCAGCACAAACACTGGCAAATCAAACAATGTTGAGATGTATCATTAAATGTATACAATTTAAATCAAGGGATGTTGTTAAAACTGTACAATGCTCTAGCAAGACCACATTTAGAACACTGTGCACAATTTTGGTGATTGTGACAGATAAAAGGATATTACTGCTCTGGAATAAATCCAGAGAAAAGCAACCAGTTGCCATCTGGGGCTCACGGAAATGTCTTACACAGATGTGGAAAAAACTAAACAGTCTTGGACACAGAACACTATTAGGGGTCCTGATTCAAGCATTCAAAATTCTCCAGGGCACAGTCAAAGTCAATCCAATCTACTTCTTCAGAAGCCACACAAACATTACAGGACACAAGTGGAAACTACGGGGATGTGCATTTAAACAGAAAACCAGAGGCACCTTTTCTCCACAATGTCTTGCAGGAGTCTGGAATAAGCCAAGCTGATCCCAGTCATACTGTTGAAGCTGAAACCATGGTTTCCTTTGCAAGAGGGCTAAATAAAATCCGAAGAGCAATTAGTCTCTAAACGAACTAGAAAGGCCAAAATTCCTCCTCTCACTTAGTAAGTGTTCTTACACTGTTGTGTTTTACCTGTTGCTCTTCCCCTGTTTTACACTGTATACCAGTCACTCAACACAATCACAAATTACTATTATTCAGCAGTAATAAAATACTGATGTAAACTTACAAATGTTTTTCTTGAAAAGTGACTGTGTGCGTCACCACAGGGATTAGGGGCGCACCTCTTGGGTACATAAAGAGAATCATGAAGCCAGACTCAGAAGGAGCTAAGTGTACACATGACTAATTCAGACATTCAAAAGACCTCAAGGATGCCGTTTTTGAAATCCCAGCTAATACAGCAGCCTCCTGCTGCCTCAAATGGAACCCACTGCTGCAGGCTGGAAATAGCAGAATTATTTTCAATTAAGCAACATCCGAGTCAGTTTTCTGGTGTTCCGATTCTGTTTTACACCAAGTTTATTATTAAACTGTTTGCTTAAATTTTGACTGATGCCTTTCCACTGATTCATCCTATGGCTACATTTACATTCCAAATCACAGTGCATCTAGACACGTTCATAATCAAAAGACTAAATGGAAGCAAGTGGCATGTTTTCATGAACCAATAATTTTTATTCCTCCATGCTTAAAAGTTTTGGAAATGATCTAAATTTGTCCCCCCGGCCCTCCACCCCACACACCCTGCTGGGATGCAAATCACTAAGTCTAGGCATTTCAAATTAGCTCCATGCCAAATGGACTACAAAAGGCTCTGAAATAGGTTTGAGGCTCAAAGAACCAGGTACAGATGGTTCCTACCCATTTTTATATTGTGGAAACGGCTGGAAACATTGCAGTCGACTCAGACCAAGATCAGGCTGCCAGCACTTTCCCCAGAATAAAACCAGATAGATCTGGGACTTTCATCCTCAGAAGACTTCCATTAGATCATTGGGTCCCCTTATGTACAGGCACCCAACAATCCCCCTAAACTCCCGAGCAATGGCTACAGGAAAGAAAATTTACTCCAACTGTAAATGAATAACTGCTCTGCCAAGCTTGGCTCTTTGCAGTACAGACACCTGTGCCGAGGAAATTTAAATGATTCCATGAAATGGCTTCAGAACCTCACCAATCAAGGGACAGGGCCTCTGTAGTAAAGGAGAAGCAAGCTCATATACAAACCCATGAATTGGCTAATCTGCTGGTGCAGAAGTGCAAATAAAGACATAAGTAAGCCAATAGTGGTACAATATGGACTGGTTTTCTAAAGTGACTATCAACACTCTCTCTGACACCTAAGCCTCCCCCCACACAGTACATTTACATACAGGTATAAAAAAAAATAACACATTGCCACCAAGCTTTCATTCCCAGTAGAGATTTTCATTAAGAAAATATATATGGAAGTTAAATGAGAAATATACAATTGTTAATATAATAGTTAAGATGAAGAGCTATACTTTATTATAATTAAAAAATGGATTAGATCTTCCCTTTGCAGCGCATCTTGTTTCTTGGTTTCTAGGCGAGAGGTAAAGTGTATAAAAAAAGGCAGACTTTCAAGAGATACGCTCCACTTCCCTGCTTCCCATCATGCGATTGCTTTTGCTTCTGGTAGGAAGGCTTCCCAGTATTTTATAAGCTGAAAGAGAAGAATATGCTAAATAGTAACCTTTGTGTGGTGCAAATCAATCGTGACATTATCCATACCATTGGACTTGCATCATGTGTGTAATTATATATTTTGACTGGGGGTAAGGTAACTACAGAACTAAAAACCATTCCACCTATTCATTGGAATACAAAATCCAACCATTGTAGGATACAAAATTCTACCTTCATGCCAACAGTACTCTAGGACATTGTCCAAATTTACACCCAGGAACTCTAAAATTCAATAAAGAGGTCTCAGTCTTTACAGCGATATGTTTCAGAGCACTTCTTGAGCATTTCATTTTAAAATAGTTTAAGTAAAATTGCCTTTATTAAAAACAAATTCTCCATACCTGTTGCTGTGTATGTAGAAGTGTCTCAAGATATTTCACTAGCTGGGTCTTAAGGTCTCTGGCCTTCTCTTTCTGCAAAGACACAACAGGATATTCCTCACTAGGTCAAACAGACGTGGCCAAGAGACCCTTGGCTTTCTGCTTCATACAGAGTCCTGTCTCTGGGCTACAAGACGGGGAAGATTTTAATTTAAAAACAGAGAACCACCTACCTCAAACCTGAGTACCTCTTTGCGAACCGTCGCAGAAATTCTCTCAAAATCCCTCTCATACTGCGTTACTCTGGACTCCCACTAAAAATAAAATCAAAGGAACAAAGAACATGTTAACAGATGCCCACATTTTTTACACTGCCTGTTGCTCAAGGGCTAATACTGGACAAAAAAGTCACGGTGAAGGAAACTCCATCTACCCACTAACTTCAGCGTGCAGCTCAGAACAAGGGCAGTGTCCACACAATCTGCAAGCATGCGGCTACCCAACTCGTATTTAACCAGTGGCATGTATGATTCACTGGAAAAAAAAAAAGTTGCCTTAACTCTGGGAAAACAGTTCCCAATTCCAATCGTTGAGGTCCAGAATACTTCCGGTTATCTCCAAGTTAGAAACAGCCACACACTACAGTGAATGGTAAAATTGATTCAACTAAGGGTTAAGTGTAGCCAATGAACCGTTTTCAGATTCTTTGATAAATTAAAAAAAAAGACAAGAAAATCAGCAGGATTCTGGACCCCAAGGACTGGAGCTAGGAAACCGTGGTCTATATTTTCTGCAGTCATATTATCATCCAAAAAAACACATGACGTCCACGTGAAATAAGTACCATCACCGCCGATTCTGAGATCCTTTAATCTGTGATCTGAGAACTAAGAGGAGGCAGGAGGATGTTAGCAGACCAGCTTCCCCTCAACAGCTGCGCTTGTCCGGAGGATGACCCGCTCTCCCCCTCTGCCGTTACCTCCGAGATCTCGTCCTTCGCTTGCTGCAGTTTGTCCGGCTTGTTGGCCCACAGCAGCTTGGCTTCGGTCTCGCGTTTCTTCTGGAGCGTCGTCTGGGCGTCCTGCCACCGCTGCCAGGTCTTCATTCGCTGGTCAAAGCAGCCCTGGAAGGGAGGAACGGCAGAGAAGAGCGGGCGTCCCGGGTCATTCGGGACAACAACACGGCGCATTTCGACGCTCGAGCCGTTCAGCAGATTGAGATAGCATAGGCTACACCTGTGTAGGGGGTTGTGCGATACTGTGACTCTATGAGCTACAATCAATGGATTTCGCACTGAAGCGCCCGTTTTAGTTTGTAATAAAATATACAAATGCTGCAAATATACAGTATTTTAAACAAAATGTGAAATTGTCAATTATACAGTATACCCACCCAAAAGGGGAAATGCCAATTTTCTCAGATTAAACACATAGCTACAGCTCTGAGAGATGGGCATGCCCCGCCAATAAGTCTGCTAGCCTTTCATCTTTTAACAAGCTGGAGCTCCACAGCCCACAACAGCAGAGTTAGTGCCGAAAGAAGGAACAGTAGAAACCTGGCCTGCTAATGCCCACCATGTCCCTTTGGCACTCTCACAGTCATGGGCAATCCCAGCAGAAGTTAGCTTGTGAACGGGCAACATCCTGGTAAACATGCATGGGGAGTCTTGGCTATGGACAAGTGTGGTGCTGAGGGGGAGGCCGGTACCCTGACGGCGCCCAGCAGGCGGACGTAGTCGCTCAGCAGCTCCGCGAAGATGAAGAAGTCGTTGCCGGCCTGCTCCTGGTGGAGCTGCTCGATCTTGTCCTCCACCTCGGCCAGCTGGGACAGCGCGCGCGACAGCGCCGTGTTGTCCTCCGAGCTGCCCAGCATGGCCACGCTCTTGGCGAAGACCGCAGTATTGCCGGAGAGCTCTGCCGGGGAAACGCAGCAGAGCAGCATTCAGGTGGGCGGCCGCAGCGAGCGGCCTCTAAAACACGACCCCCTCCCGAGGCTCCGAGAAAGGCCTCGGCACAGATACGGGAGTCACGGCAGTACAAATAAAACAATTAATTAAAAAACAACCCGGGACATTTCAAATACAAAAACATGAAAACTTTTCAACTGGCTATGACGGTGGCTTGAGTCCTCACCTTTCCTGTGGTTGACCAACGCCTCTACCACAGCATGCAGCTTTCTCAACTGCTGCTCTTCACTCTCCACCTCCTGCAGCTTCTCTTCGAACCACTGAAAGGTACGGAAGGAAGGTGCAATGACCAGCGGGATAACAACCGAGGCAGATGGGAGACAAAAAAACTGTGCTGCTGCCTATTAAGTATTTGTTAAGGCCCTGGAGTGCACACTGTAGTGGGACAGATGGTCACAAACATCTAGCCTCCATTCCACCTGAACCATGCTTATGTAGATCGAACTGGAAGCCCAGACTGCAGACATGCATCAGTGCACTTCTTCACTCATGATTCAATCATATGACTGAATGAATGCTGTGATTTTATGCGTCTGAGCTCTGTAGATTCGGGAGGGTGTCTGCATGACTTACAACATCGGACTCGTTCATCTTGATGGTCATCTTGTTCACAGCGTCCGTCGCCCTGTTTAGCATCTTCAGGAATCCGGCCCCACTCAGCGCCTGGGTGCCCGTCGCTCGGGGTAACTGACAAACACAGGCACTCATTACTGAAGGAAGGAATATGGCTCAGTCAGCTCAAACAAATGGACTGCTAAACTTATGAGGAACCATTCAATTGGCTTGTGAATGGAAATTAACCACCCTTTACTCACACCTGCTATACACCTAACTAATCAAGTCCAACTAGGCCTGGGAAGGGAAAAAACACAAGACAGAAGAAAATATGAGAAGGAATTAGACTGGGTGAAAACAACCACATACGCTTTTAATACACAAATGAACTGCCTCAGAAGTACTGCTTTAAAATACAGCAGAATTAAAATAACTGCCACTTTAAATTGTAGTTATCCTACACAGGACCAAAACCAGGAAACCATAAAAAGGGTAATCTACCTCATCTTTTTCCAGGAATTCCCGGACGTCTGGGTCTTGTAACAACGATGGATGGTTGACTACTCTCTGAAGATACCTGAAAGAAGAGGGAATGAGGTCACCTGCAGCCACTTCACGGCTAGCAAAGTGCAAACAGAAATGAATATACACAGCAAATGAGAATGAGAAATGAAACGGGAATGGTGCAGGTCAAGTTTTTTACCGAACTTTTTTTTTTACTCTTTTTTGCAGTCTTAAAGGAGTGAAATGCATCTTGTGCACCCGTATCTCACCTTTCTAAGGCTGCGCGCCGCCTTTCTACAAACTCTGCCGAGGACGAGTCTTCTTTCCCCACTTTAACTTTGGTCATCCCTGTAAAGACAGGAGAAGAAATATAAGGCCAAGTTCAGACGGAATAGTCTCTGCTAAAAGTTGGATCGCACTTGCAGTATTGTTCTAGAAAAGCATTCGATAACGCTAAAACGACTGGACTTTGTAAGAAAAAGGACTGTTTAAGGAGTGCGGTTAAAGGCTACTACCAACCAATAAATCTCCTAATACAGGACTCGTTCCTACTCAATCAGATTGAAGCATTTGGAATAGGAAATCTCTAGCAACAGTGATGTACTTCTTTACAGACAGGAAAGGGCAAGGATTAACGAGACAACATAAGAGGAATGCACTGCTCATCTAATAAAGTTCCCGAACCGTAACAGAAACAAGGAGAAAAAACTGCACTTGCCAAGTATGCTCTTTTCTGGAGGTGGAGGTACAATGTATCCGTTCTGAGAGTGCTTCTCAGAAAGCTTCTCGTAGAGCCCCAAGAAATCACTGAACCTCCGCTTCACAGTGAAGGTCTTGCTCTTGAACATGGGCAAAGTGGTCTGGAAAGCAAGTCAACAAGGAAAAAATAAAATAAAGTCTCTTCTACCGTGAATCCTGTAATGGAAAATTATTGAGAAAAAGTGTTTTATCCTAAAAATGTTGTTTACGGGCAGAGCTATGCTGCAGAAGCAGCTGGATGTTTTACTAAAGTTTATCTCTGCTGCTTGAAGAAAGGAGTATGAGAAACTATTTGAATAACTGCTCTTCTTTGCTTAAAGCAAAAACCTATAAGGAATGGAAAAGTACTGCTTTGCCTGTCCTTGAAGTGTTGCATCAGCTTAAAAAAGATATAAAACAAGGGCTCTCCCTGCTTGCTTTTGAATCGGCCTTCACTTCTCTGCACAGATGGGTAATGGCTTCTTCCCCATATTGCAATCTGAATAAAGACCTTACTGAGCGAATGAGAACACCTCTCCTGGCTCTTCTTTGATAAAATTCCACGACAATCCGTATTTCCATGACGCACCAAAGTTAAAAGAAAAGAACTGCGCTGGGCCAATATCCAAACTGTAAAGATCTCAAATTGAAACTAACTAGTTTCAGAATTTTAGAGACATATGACTATGCCACATCTTCTACATATAGTATATGAAAGCATTATCTCTGCTTCTGAGGTGAGATGTTAATAATAATTAAATCTTAACACATTGAAAAATAAAAATGTTATTTTCATTGTAATGTACGTGAAGGTACAGCTGCATCTTTAGGAAGTCAAGAATGCCCACAATTGTTCTGCAAACAAAGCTACTGCAGAAGCAAGATCTGTGATCTTTTAACATACCTGTGTAGACACTTTGTAAACCATATAAGCATTCATGCCATCCCCTGAAATAAAGAAAACGGAGAAATTAAAAATAATTACTGGCAACAAGAAAAATCCCCCTGATTTTCCCCCTCTTTGTTAAAGGTTGTGCTATCAAATCAATAGAAGGCAGGAGTCACAATTAGAGCAAAGGTCTAATACAACACTATCTATCCATTTTGTCACCACTTTATCCAGCACAGTGGTTAGCACCGCTGCCTCACAGCACTGAGGTCCTGCGTTCAATTCCTGGGGTGCTAACAGCCTGGAGCTTGTATATTCTTCCTGCGTTCACGTGGGTTTCTTCCCACAGTCCAAAGACATATGGGAAAATTAATTTACTTTTGGGAAGATTGGCCCTGGTGTGAGTGTGTCCTGCCATTGGACTGGCGTTCTGCCAGAGGTGTACGCCTGCCTTGTGCCCAGCGCTTGTGCGGTGGCTCTGTGGCTCAGGATCTGCGCCTGTGGCTGGAAGGTTGCCGGTTCAAATCCCGCAGCCGGCAGAGGAATCCTACTCCGTTGGGCCCCTGAGCAAGGCCCTTCACCCCAACTGCTCAGGGGTGCCGTATAAATGGCTGACCCTGCGCTCTGACCCCAGCTTCTCCCCAAGCCGGGGTCTGCGAAAAGACACAATTCCTAATACAAGAAATTGTATAGGGCCAATAAAGTGATCATATCTCTTACTTGAACAGGCTATGGCTCCCCCATGACCTAGCCTTTAAAAACTCTCATCAGTCAAGAAATGCAAAAGGAATATGGGACAAACACTTTCTCGGTTCGCTTTGGTTCAATAAAAAGAACAAAATGAAATACAAGCTCACCGATTTTTTCAGGATGGGTAACCGCAATATTCAGCTCAAACTTGTCCTCGCTCTCCTCTTCTTCCAGCTACAACAAACGGTTGTAACAGTCATGCTGGTGAAACATCGCCTTTGCCCAAACACAGCCACGCCATCCATTAGAGTTATACACACACGTGGTTAAAAAAACTGGACAGTCCCTGACAGACACCCATATTTACAAATTCTCCATAATTTAATTTAAAACAATTTAATAATTTTGAACCTAGTCACTAAAAGATCTACACTTTATATATATATTCTTGATAAGTATTTATGGCTGGAAGAAAAAACATCCTAATAAAAGTTTATACTAAATATATAAAGGGAGGTATTAAGCTCTGGACTATTAGCTTCCAACTGGATTGAGAGGAAGCAATCCCTGCTGTTCTCCGACATCTCCCTGTATTGGGGTGAAATGCAGTGGTCTGCCTTCTGCAGCATGCTTCACACTGCCAGCCCTGTGGTGAAGAGCGAGCAGGCAGCACCCACCTCTTCCAGAGTTTTCGGCTGTGTCTTGGAAGTGCTTGGAGTGACACCGAGAGCAGGAGCCGGCACAGAGGGCTTGGCTGGTTCCTTCTTCCTGTCACTGCGAGGACTGTCCAATGACAGCTCAACGGTGGCTTCTGCGAGGAAAGAGGGAAGGAGTTCAACACGGTTAAACATCATTGAGCCTATCTGGCATACTCTCAAAAAAAAAAAAGAGGAAAAATATGTTCCTTTCTTGGAGGGATAGGAATTGTTGCAAAAGAAATTGATGCATGGATTTGTATACATTGTGTACCCTTGATAGGAAAATTCTGAATTCAATCATAATTAATGATAGCTGCATGCTTGTTTCTGTGTTTCTTTGATCCCTTTATTTATATGCAAGTGTAGATCTTTCATTTCTAACACCGCTCCTAGGACAACACACTGGCAAAATAAATTCTGCATCACAAATGCAAAATGACAACATTGCAACCAAGGTAGAACCCGGGAAGATGTCTTTAATGGAAATGCTAATGCTAACTTACCACCATTGGCAGAATGTCTACAGATCAAGCTTTCCGAGAGATGACTCGCTCAGTAAACATTACACATGCATGTTGATTACCTGAAACTGCAACAGATGCTTGTGGTTTTCCTGGGATGCTATTTAAAGATTTTTTTGCCCCTCTGCAATTAGGACACTGTGAAAATATACTTACCTAACAACAGAATACAAATGCTCCAGTTAGACCCAGAATTAGCCTAGTGCTCATGAGATATTGACAAGCTCACAGAACAGCACAGCTCTCTCTAAGGGACACGTTCCATGGTCTTTTGTCCTTTTCTGCTGCTGATCAGCAATGTAATCCATAAAACACAATTAAGTTCTGTGCAGTTTGGAAAATTAGCTGGTCTATTCTTCTGTTTTAGGTTAAGTTCCTGCATCTGATCTAAAGAAACTCCTAAAATCTAAAAAGACTCCCAGAAGATGATTCAGCATGGAACTTGTTCACAGTGAGCCCATTGTTGCTGGAGAGATACGTGCAGAACCAGCAATATCAGCTACACAGGAATCTTTTGCCACACTAGAGACCGAGGTAATGAAGTGATAGGTTATATCAGTAGAAGTGATCCAGCTCAGAGAAGTCTCTTTTAAGCAGTGCCCTCGAAGCCCTCAAACATGTGAGGCAGCCAGTCCCTACATTAACACAGTCACTGGCTAGAAGCTAGGAAACCTGATTGTTCTGACTTTTCTGTGCTACTGTAACTCTCAGCTTAGGAAGTTCTAGTAAAAGTGTAATGCAGGTAATAAGATGCAATTAACAAGCTGATCTCATTTTCAAGCTCTAATCCTGTAGCTTGACAAAGTCCTTTATGTCAAACCCCTTTCCCACAAATATTGGGACAACTCTAACCCCATTGAGGGAGGAGGTAGAGAGTCCAAGCATAACTATAAGCCTGTCCAAATTGGAGCCTTTTCTGGAAATGTTGGAGTACATTTTCTGCTCGGCTAACCAAATGACATTTGCATGGAAAAAATAATTCACAAGATAAGTCCTGTAGATTTTATTAAGACATTAAAGATCTTAAGTAAGATACCTGCAAATATATCCTGTTCTTCATCATCTGAATGCAGCCCATTAGTCTTGGTACTGGTGACTGTGTTGCTGGCTGTAGTTCCAGTTGTGGTGTTGTTTGTAGTGAAGATATTGCTGCTCTGGGGTAGGGGATCCGTCTTGGGTTCCGACACTTTGCTCTGGACGCAGAAGACAAAACAAAGCATATTTAGACACGAGTAGATACACATTGCATGAAGTGCAAGTATTTATGTATACAACACTGCATAACTGCTGCATTTTCAATATAATCACATACCACATCCCAAGTGCTCTTAGTAACTCTCTCAGGGGGGGGGGATGGGGCTTTTTTACATACACCTCCAACACCTTCACCTCCGCGCCACTCACCCCATCACCCCTCACAGGCAGCACGGCCTGACAGCACCCGAGGTTTACAGCCAATAGGAGTGGTGCAGCCTTCACTGACAGCACTGCAAGCCTGAAACACCAGGGGTTTCTGGAGCACTCGGAACGGAGAAAGTACTGGCAGGCTCAACCCAGCCTACTCGTGTTGGTGCTCAGCCACTTGTGTGCCACCACTTGCAGGATTCTGGTCCCAGGCGGCTAGTGCCTTGTCCCAGACTCAAACCTGTGATGCCAGGATAACAGGGCTCAATTTATGCTCAGGTGAGCATATTTCTCAGTTCAGCCACTCCAGAGTCCTTACTGCCCCCTTTTAGATTTATTTCCCATTCTAAAGAATTCAAGCAAATAACTTCTCAAGGCTGAATGGCAGGAAGTGAAGTGGGGACATACTTCGGTGTTGCACAGGGCTCAGTGCATGGCTTCCATGGAAGGACATGCATGCTCATTACCTCCATATGACCCCCCTTACCACATGACATTACCTCCACCCTGCTGTGGAAGGTAATGATGGAATGATGTTTACAGAAACATTACCTTAGCTCATTCTGACTGGGCCATGCAGTACGACAATGAGTCAAATACAACCAAGACGTTCAGCAGAAGAAAAAAACGGGAAAATCTCAGACTAAGGCAGACTCTACATTTAAACCCATTTGCTGAAGATGAAAACGAACAGAGAAGAACCCAGAGTGCCAGTAACACAGCCTCTTAAATACTTGCACAATGAATCTGGCAAGTTCAATGGATCACTAACATCATGCATTTATCATCTCAAACCTATATGCAACCAAATACTGAAATGTACTTTAAACTGTATGTCTCCCAAAACTCATCACTTCACTCACTGGCCCGAACACAAAGTATGCTTTTCCTCTAATGTGATCGAAGGTATGCATGGCATCTCTCTGAAATAAAATGCATACCATACTTTTTTTCCAATTAATATTAATTGGATGATTGTAAATACAAACTGCTTGACCATAAAGCAGAAATGAGCTTTGAAGTGCTGTCCTGGTATGTCTGAAAGGCACTGTACCTTTGAAAACAGCTGTATTGTTTTTGTGTGCATGACCTGTTGAGGATAGCAGATTTAGAAGTTGAAAACAAGCCCATTACTCTGCTTCACTGCACGAGCATCCACTGCACAAGGGCTGCCCCCAGATCCAGCCTGGAAAGGCAGGGTGACTCACAGACGCAAGACACAGCTTCTGCATGAGCAGTCACATCCTGCAAAGCCGCTGAGCCATGCCAGCAGACAGCGGGGCATCGGTGGAAATCAATCTCGCCCTTAGTAAGGGACAAACGCTTCAAGACCTTGAGTCCCAATAAATTTGGTCGTTAGATATACACCCAATAAAACAAACGCCCCACCCACAGAACAAACATCTCACCAATTCTGTGGCAATAATAAGACTCAATGTTCATGCGCACATAATCAAAAAGGTGCAATATAAGTACTACAAATACCACAGACACTGGCAGAAAAATGCCAACATGAAGGCCTTTTTAATGGTTTGAATTGTAGACCGTATCAAGTGATCAAATAGGCTATTTCAAATTTACTTGAAATTAGGGTAAAATATTACCCTAATTATCTTCCAAATATTGCATTACCCTAAACAGTGGGGACTACTGCACTGCAAGATCGTCACAGTAAGCTTAACAGCCCATGAGCTGTAAATGAAAGCAAAAAAGGTGTCACTCATCATTCACAACTGAAGAACACAACCAAGTTCAGCACAGCCAGACTGGACGAAAAGCAGGCCAGTTCATGGGGCCTTAATGAGCTCAATCATAGCACTGGTTATACTGTGAAACCGTTTACAAGGCCTTAGGCCAGGCCAGAATACCTACAGTTTTTTCTCGATCACAACTGTACCAGCTGTCAGCTTTTCCAGCCTGAAGCATGGGGGAGAGTAGGGCCTGCATGTAACCACCTCTGCACTGAACCTTAACACCAGAGCACCAAGCCCAGCTGCACAAAGAGAGGCTTACAGACTAACTTTCAGAAAGAGGAAGCACTCTTAAAAAAAAACGCTCACAATGCATTCAAGAGGAATTGTATTTTAGGCCACAGAAACGTATTTATTGTGGAAAGAGGGAAGTTTTATTCATTTAAAGTGAAGTATCAAATAAAAAGTACTTGCCACTGCTGGAAATATATGCATAATATTAACATATTAGAGCTGTTGAGCTCTGCACAAAAACAAAAGTCAAATCACAGTCTGTCAAACCAAGACTTTGACTCATCTCCGTTAAAAAACAGCTCGTGGCACCACAGCACAGTTCACATTTATTTTCGGATTCAAACACTTAGACCAGCTGCTACTTTGCTCAAATCGGGTTTTTTAAAAATACTTTTCCAACACCTGACAGGTTTCAGGCAGGAGCGTTCTGAGAGCAGGCACTTGATGCAAAGTGAAAGACCCAGCAGAGCAATAGAGTGTAACCTAACAAAAAAAACTGTAAAAAGGTGTCTTTGGCAGTATTTTGTAATCATAGACGCCATCTCTTTTTACCTCAGCAGTATTAGGAACGAGTAAGATTAGAAAACCCCATACAATAAGCACATACAAAGAGTTATGCGCCTTACAATAGAGGGCTTTGTGTTTAGGAAACGTTTTTTAGTCTTATCTTCGCCTGAACGGTTTGTTCAGGGTTAGAAGTGGCTTCAAGTTAACACCAAGCTCAGTTCAAAACGTCAAAATAGTCTTGAGTTTTCAGCTAGATTCCGAAGCTCATGTGCCGAGCAATTACAACTATGAAGCTACAGGTACGGCTAATGCAATATTACTTGGCATGTCAGGTGTTTTACAAAATTGCGCAAGACTATTGCAAAACTCTAGACAATTTTACTTTAAAAAAAATCAACCTAACCTTCTATTTACATTCTCTTCTGCTCCCCTTCCGAAAACAGCCAAATGTTTTGTTTAGAAAAGTTCGACTTCTCCAAGGATAACTACTAAATCTTCTATTAGTTGCTTTCTTCGGGGTATTATGTAAAAACACTTTCTATACACTGAACTAAGTTGGTCACCCCTTAATCCTGGGATCTAAAAATACTTTTTATTACAACAGTTTTATTACTGTAAAAAGAAAACTGCACAAGTAATCCCACGTTTTCAGGAGATCTCCTATTTTTAAACGAATGCATCAGTTACCAGAATTCAGTCTGCTGTTCTTGGGACGTGTTACACTTCAAAGCTGAGTTTTGACCACAAAAGCAGCCGTTGCGCCATGCCTGCGATAACGCTATCGCCCGGCCGAGCCGTCCTGTTGCAACAGTAACAAAATCACAGGCCAGCAGAGAGGAGCGGTGCATTCAGGAGGCGAGACGTTCAGCTGTCAACAGGCTTGAGTCAAAGTCTACAAGCCCAATGCTCTACACAGACGTTAATCGGGAGTAACCCAGCCCCGGTTCAGCCGTTATGTAGTAGATGTGAATTTGAAGGCATCAATATCTAAATCCGTCCAAGACGAAATTCCAACACGATTGCAAAAACCTTCCATACACGGATCCGTCAATGCAGCCACCCTCTGTACCTGTACCCATGCAGAAGCCTTCGTGTTTGTATTGTACAACAACGAATACAAAAATTAAGCAAATAACAAATCACACCGCACAGCCAACCACGATAGTTTCCAATTCTTCGTTCAGACCTGACGGGGAATCCCGATTTTTTTTGTGGGGGGCCTAACCGTTAACACTGGCAGAACTTTTTTTTTCCTGCTCAGGTTCCTCTCCGGATGAAGGAAACCTGTCAAAAAAAAAAATGTTCGCCCTCTCTCTTAACCTCCCCCGTGAATCCGCAGCGCCCACATCGACCCCTCGCTCACAAGGCCAGTGAAAATATCCTCGCCCTCGTCGCTGTCCCCGTCCCCCGCGGCGGGCTCCGGCTCCGGGTCCTCGGACTCCGGGAAGGGAGGGGGACTCCGCTCCGAGCTGGTCGCCATTTTTACTCCACAGCAAACAGGAGACGGCGAGCATCACAAAACTTTATTGGAGACGCACACACTGAGAGAGAAAGAGAGGGGGAGAAAAAATCTCCAAAAGGGGCCGAGAACAAGTACAACGACACCTGCTGGTGGTAGCGGACAATGGTCGTCTTAACTCCTGCAAAAAAAAA